AAAAAAATTATGATCTCATTAAATGACGGCGTTAATTAATTTTTAGTTCTGGGACCAGTGGAACTCTCGAAACTGGGGAGAACTCTCACTCATGAGCATTTGTCCCTGGATTTTCACCAGTTTTATGTGCCTCCACCGGAACCCCTCGTCAATTACTTGAATAAAAAAATTCTTCTGAACAATGTGGGGTACATAAAACAATACCCGTAAGTCGATGTAATTACTAGTTCAAATGTTATTTGCATTTATAAACAATTTTGTATCGAAATGATACCTAAACTAGGATAAGTGCATTTTTTTCACGGCCAGTTTCGAGTCGATATCTCGAGACTGAAGGGGGATAGCAGGATTTCTATAGATACCTTTTTTGTAGATCTCATCTTTCTCTATAAAAAATGTTTCTACAAAAAATTTGCTATGTTTCATCAATTCCGAGATATCGGATGAAAACTGGCCGAGAAAAAAATCCTCTTATCCTTTTTTTTTTACAAATGAAAAGGAAGAATAAGAAAAATTTATTGAGTGAATGGCATGCTTTGTTTTAGATATAGCAGTCGTTATAATCTCAGTTTCTACGATGAAGATGCTACCAGAGCTGTCATGGAGGACGTGAAAATTTATAAAAAACATGGAGGGGGTACAATTGTTGATAACACTTGCAGTGGTATCAACAGAGATCTCTCGTTCATGAAGAAAATTAGTGCGGACTCTGGGGTGCATGTGATCCTCGGATGTGGTACGTCATTATTTAATTCTTCATTACCCATACCATTCGATTTTCCAACAATTTGTTTATTTAATTTCCACTAAACCAGAAAATTCACAGAATTTCGCCTGGAATTTTTAATTTGTGAGAGAGAGCTTTAATGAACTCAGATGTTCACAGAGTACAAGTAGTGTTAATTGTTTATACAAATTGTTGTCAAGGGTATTACGTGGAGGCGACACAGACTCCGAGTACTTTGAAATTGACTGAAGAGCAGATGCACGATGTCATGTTGACAGAATTGACAGAAGGTTGTATTGAAGATGCCAGTTTGAAGGCTGGATTCATCGGAGAAGTTGGAAGTTCATGGCCGATGACTGGTGAATAATTTATCGTCTACACCCGCATGATATAAATTAATAAACAACTAACAGGTCTAAAAAAATTCTCATTTTT